TGCTGTTACTACCATTACTGCTATTACTGCTATTATTATTACTAATATTAGTGCTATTACTGCTATTATTGTTATTACCATTAACAAATAAAATTTATTATTATTATTACTAAATACATACAACAGAAAACATCAATCCAAAAGCATGATTAAACATACAAAATGATTAAACATACAAAAAACCAAAACACAAGGAGCCGAAATAATACTATTATTGTATTATTACTATTAGTAGTAGTAATAATAATAATATATTTTTATATTTTTATATGATTATTAATATTATGTATTTTTATTATTGATTATTATTATATATTACATATTGTTATTATTATTATATTACTAGTAGTAATAATTCATTTATATTTGTATATGATTGTTATTATATATTTATTATTACTGATACTTATTGTTATATATTATTTTATATTGTTATTATTACTACTACTGTTACTAATATTATTATTACCAATATTATTACTATTGTTACAATTACTACTGCTATTATTCCTATTATTATTGCAATAATAATAATAATAATTATTATTATTATTATTATTATTGGTTGCCTCTAGAAATCTCGGAGCTCCAGAGGGCGAGAGAGCGCAGCGGTCACCTTGACCAAGAAATCCTGGCCTTAAGCAGCCGAATCCGCTCCTTCGACTTGTCTTTGCTGCCCATTTACCAGGATCGGGTAGGTCCAGGTGTCTACATTTTGGGGGAACCATCGAGTCATAAATGATATCACTATATGATGGTTTTTATATCATATGCTAAATGTTTTGTAATTGTATTTTATGTTGTTTGGGGCATCGGGCTGAGAAAGGCGGTATATAAATACAGTAAATAAATAAATAAATAAATAATAACAATGCAAGAACTCTATGAAGTCTGTGCTTTACTGTGTATTATTATTATTATTATTATTATTATTATTATTATTATTATTATTATTATTTCAGGCCAGATGGTGAATCCCATGCATTAGGAGAGGCGGTTGTAATTACAGTGTATTATTATTATTTATCTCAGACCAGATGGTGAATCCCTCACATTAGAAGATTTGGGTTTTAATTACAATGTATTATTATTATTATTATTATTATTATTATTATTATTCAGGCCAGATGGTGAATCCCATGCATTAGGAGAGGCGGGTTGTAATTACAGTCTATTATTATTATTATTATTATTATTATTATTATTATTATTATTTATTTCAGACCAGATGGTGAATCCCAAACATTAGAAGATTTGGGTTTTAATTACAATGTATTATTATTGTTATTATTATTATTATTATTATTATTATTATTATTATTATTTCAAGCCAGATGTTGAATCTCATGCATTAGG